TAGCTCTTGGGAGGCCGAGGCGGGCGGATTGCTCAAGGTCAGGAGTTCAAAACCAGCCTGAGCAAGAGCGAGACCTCGTCTCTACTATAAATAGAAAGAAATCAATTGGCCAACTGATATATATATAAAAAAAAAAAAAAAAAAAAAGTTAAGGAACTTTAAGTCACCTAGCTAGTAACAGGTGAAGCTCAGGTTAACTGAGCCCCGGTTTAGTCTGGCTCTGATAGCAAAGTGTTTTAATAACTTGGAAAGAAAAAAAGGACAGAAAAACGAATAAAAATGAGTTAACAGCTGTTCTGTCAATCGGAGTACTGGCACAAAGGAGATGCTTAAATATAAAAGTAGTGGTTAAGCGTAAGATACTGGCATATACATTGCAAAAAAGTTCTATGAGGTTTGTTAATATTGTGCCTAGACACATCAGGGGTACATCAACCTTGGTGGCTTCAATGGTGGGAGTATCCAATATTACCACAACCTCAATTGCAAACCTGGAAATTAGCAGTGTAATTAATTCTCACCGCATAACCATTCTTTGCAACTGCTGGATGATGGAATTCACACCAGGATTCAATTCTCTTCCAGCGCAATGACTTATGCGAAATCGCGATGTGGGACCCTCCCACTACTTTAACCGCAGCCTATAAACCCCCAATGCCCAGGCAGCGAGTAGACCCCCAAGGCAGGATTCGCATCCGCATCCCGCGCCTCGCGCCCCTTCCAGGCCCTGCCCCCCTGGGCATCCTCGGAGTGTGCCCACTCCGCGGGGTCCCCGCCTACAGGAGGCAGCCTGTCCTTGGTGTTACCCGGCGACCACTTGGCCGGAAGAGGTGTGTCGGAGGGGGCCAAGCGGAGCCGGCCTCCGGGGTCCCCGCCAGGTCTGGAGTCCGAAAAGCTAAGCGACAACAGAAAGCGCAGCGGGCCCGTGCAGGGTCCCAGGCGACACCGGGGAGAGCCCCCCACGGCAGGCTAAGGCCAGCGCGCCCGGGCGGGGCGTGGGCCAGGGCCGGCGGCGGGTGAGGCCTCAGGGCCAGCACACAATGGGCCTGGGCTGCATGCCGGGCGCGCAGCCAACGTGCAGCCGCACCACGTGGGCCGCAGAGCGCGCCGGGCCACCAGCGGCCCGTCGCCCCAGGCCGGGCGCGGCGCGGCGTACGTGCGCGCGCGCGCGCGTGCGTGCATGCGATTTGCGATCAGGCGGCGCGGCGGACAGCCCCGGCGGCGGGGCGGGGGGAGTTATATTGCGGGGTCCTTCCTCGCTCACCCTGGTTCCTCTCGGAGCGGAGACGGCAAATGGCGGACTTCGATACCTACGACGATCGGGCCTACAGCAGCTTCGGCGGCGGCAGAGGGTGAGGCGGGCGTGCGCGGGCCCCTCCTGGGGCTGGGGGCGGCGGAGTCGGGGGTCTAGGGGAGGCGGCGTCCTGCGCTCGCTTGGGGCGGCGAGAGGCAGGAGCCCGGCTGGGCCCGCGGAAGCCTGGGAGAGGCGCCTGGAGGGCCCGGGCCTGGAAATGGCGCGCTCGGGGAAGGGGCGGCGGCGGTTAGGCTCCCAGGGTCTTGCTCGCGGAAGGGATCCTTCACTCTGCCTCCCACCTACGACGACGTGTAATTTTTGCTCTGCCTTGACTACAAGGCCAGGCCGCAGCGGCGCCCAGTGCCCGGGCATGAGCGCCTGCCTCCAACCCGATTCCCTACGGCAGGGCTATCGCGGGGCTCATCTGCAGCGCCGGGGTGGGGGCCGCGGCCTGTCCAGCTCCAGTCCCGGGCTCTCCGGCGGTCTCCCGTTGTCTGCCTGCGCTGCAGGCCCCTGACCCCGACGCCAAGAGCCTAGCAGACAGGGTAAGGACGGAGGCCGAGAGAGGGGCAATTCCCTTCTCTTTACGTGAGAGGCAGGGATTTGGCGGCTTGAATGGTCCTGTTCGCTGCGGGCGGCTAGAGGAGGGGGAGACCACCGAAAACAAGTACATCGTAGCAATTTTTTGTTTGCTAATCTTTCTTGGTTCAGAATGCCTATTGACAGGTGGTACGTGCTTGCTGGCACAGAAAATTTAATTCTCCGTGGTTTCTCACTCTGACCTGTGGAAGGAACCGCATTTGGGCACGTCCTGGTTGTGGACAAATGGAAAAGACTATATATAATTGAAGCACCTTGTTTAAAAGAAAAATCTTTGAATAGGAAGCTCATGGTGCTTAATTCCAGGAACCCACGCTGTATTTTTCTTCAATAGAAGTTATTTCATCCAGAATTTAGAATACAGGCTATAAACATCTTGAGTTTTGTCAAGGACACACTTGGTCTTTGTTTTCTTTTATAGCAAGGATTATTTTCCCAGGATAACAGCACAATAATACCTACTGAGGTGTCCAGTCTCTCCTGGGTTGCAGTCCAAAAACGATCTTTGTTTGTTGAAGAATGATCACTTTTAATACCTTGGTTTGGGAATGGCTCAGAGGCTTGTTTTGGTGGAAGAGTGTACCCAGTATTGTTCATGACACTATTAACATGAAAGTTGGGGTAGGAGGAGCCACCTGTTATTTCAGAGAATAGTTTATTTGCTAATAAAAAACGAAATAGATGTTGGATGACATATAAAATTATAGCCTATGGGGTAGGTTTCTAGACATTAAATTTGTACTTAAGTCATCTTGAAATTTAATAACTAGGGCTTTTTTTTTTTAGTTTCAAAAAATGTTCAGAAGGACCCAGGAAAACTCTACTTAAAAAGTGATTCAATTCAAGGCAGTTCCATGGAGTTTTATTTGCATTGGGACTACAATGAGATGGTCTTACTTTCCTGGGCCTGGGGATTTTTAAAAGTTCTGCCTTTAGACAAATTTGCCAGCCTTCTGGTGATATTAAGTGTTCAAGTTAGACTTTTACATAGTACACATTAAATTTTGATACTTGGGCATTCTTTAAACAATCAGAAAAATGAAAAGGTGATCAAAAGTAAAATTCTCTTAAGATGCTATTAATTTCATATATCAAAAAGCAAATTGGAATGTTTTCCATTTGCCCAGATGGACTCTAAAACTAATAAGAGAGACTACTAGATAGCACTGTGCATCTCTTAAACTTCCTTATATAAAGTCCCTTTGCTGTTAAGTGACATCTGCATCTGACTTTCTTGGAATTTTCCATTTGACTTCATATTCATATAAAGGTACATAGAAAGTATTGCTCAGTTTCCCAAAGGTAGTTTTAAAAACTTGCTGGTGAGTTTGTGTGTTCATTTATACATGACTCTGGAGTGGGTGGGGAAATTTCTCAGAGAACCAGGCAGGGAGTGACATAGTTTGTGCAAAAGCCTTTTCTGTTCCACAGAATCAGTATTACTTTAATTTCATCAGATCAGTAGTTCTCAATTATTGAGATCTCTGAAATTTAGCAATGTGGTAGGATAGTTGATCAGATACTCTTCAGTGATAGTTTCCATTGTTATTTGAATCATGTTCACATCAACAAATGTCTCAGTGCTTAAGCATTATAGAAGATTGCCACCTATGGAAAGCCTGTCTTGTACTGCTTTGGTACTTGTGTAAGGCACCTTCTCCTTAGTCTGAAACACCTTAGACAGGGTAATTCCTCTAAACTCTAAATCACTTGGGTCACAGGTGAAAGAAATGATAGGCTTAAAATGAACAGTTATAATCTAATAACAACGTGGTTTTAATAATTAGGCTTCTCCATAAGTTTATTTTGTAGTTGTGTTTAATAACCAGTTGAGTTGTCAGGAAGCAATATTGAGCGACTGGTTTTTTCCCCAGGCCTATAAAGTTATGTCCCTAGCAGCCAAGGAGAGAACCAGCAACTGCATTGTTCAACGCAAATCAAAACAAAATTCCGAATTATCAAGAGTTGATTGTACCAGATCTTGAACGGACTTTGTTTTGCAGTTTGGTAAACTAGCTTTCTGATTTCCAGCTTTTATGATTGCCATCAGCAATAAAGTGCAGAGTACTATAGATTTTGCATTTCTTATGAAACAAAGTCTTGAGTGCTTAACCAGAAACTATCAATCCTGAAGATTAGATTGGAACTTGGAGTTAGCAAAAATTGAGATTGCTGAAATGGTGCCTGCTGGTAAAACTATAAATTTATGAGTTGGTTTGCTTGTTTAATAGAGAGACAATCCTCCTGTTTCCCAGGCTAGATTTGAATTCCTAGCCTCAAGGGACCCTCCCTCCTCAGCCTCTCCCAAGTAGCTGGGACTTCCAGGTGTACGCCCAGCTTAAATTTAAGTATTCTTTATCCACCGAAGGAGTTTAGAATTCTAACCTTTTGAGTCTTGTAGGACTTAAGCTTGGCATCTCTGAGCATTTTTTCCCCATTTTTGTATGGTGGTAAAATATACATAACATAAAATTCACTATTCTAATCTTTTTTTTTAAGACAGAGTCTTGTTCTGTTGCCTGGGCTAGAGCACTGTGGCATCAGGCTAGCTCACAGCAACCTCAAACTCCTGGGTTCAAGCGATCCTCCTGCCTCAGCCTCCCAAGTAGCTGGGACTATAGGCATGCGCCCCCGTGCCCGGCTAATTTTTTCTATATATTTTTAGTTGTCCAGCTAATTTCTTTCTATTTTTAGTAGAAACAGAGTCTCACTATTGCACAGGCTGGTTTTGAACTCCTGACCTTGAGTGATCCTCCTGCCTCAGCCTCCCAGAGTGCTAGGATTACAGGCATGAGCCACTTCGTGCCCGGCCTATTTTTAAGTATGTAGTTCAGTTGTATTAAGTATATTCATAATGTTGTGTGACCGTCATCACCATCCATTTCTGTAACTCTTCATCTTGTAAAACTAAAACTTTCTACCCGTTAAACAATTTCCCATTTCCTCCTCCCTCCCAAGTCCCTGGCAACCACCATTCTATTTTCTGTCTCTAAGCATATTTTAAGACTTAAAATGGGAAGGAAAGCAGTGTATAACACTAAAGCTATTTCTGCTGATACCAGAGTCTATAAAAGTATTAAAAAGCTTTTTCTAAAATCCCATTTACCTGTCAGATGTCAAGTTGTTTGGGTTTGCTGTCATCCTTTCTTCACTCCCCAGTGTTCCGTTGCTTGATTCCAAACCATTGTCCTCTATGAAGTGTTGCCAGAAATACCTGGTTTTACTAAGAGATCTTCTGGCTTTAGAATCAGGCAGACCAGAGTCTGAGTATCAGCTCAGCCATGTGTTGGCTATGTGATCTGGAGCAAGTTCTTTTACTTCTCTGAGCCTCCTTTTTCCCCCACATGTGAGATAGAAGCTCTTCTCTTGGGCTCTTGGGAGTATTAAATGTATCTAAATTGTGTAGCATAGTACCGGGTACATAGAAAACGCTTGGTAATTAGTAGTTCTTGATTTGTAGGCTTTTAATATCTTAAAATATTTCTCTCCTCTTTGGGTTAAAGAAATGGAAAAAGTTCTGTTGAGTTAAGGGAGCTTTTTCTTTTCCTGGCTATATTGCTAAAGCCAAGTAAGTGAAGCTGTTTGTTGTATGGCGGTAAAATACTTTTTTGCAACTAGAGCACCATCAGTATTAAAAACAAGTATTTAGTTCTTGTAAAATATTTGATTTGTTACAGAATTTATGCTTGGGATATTTTAATATAAATGTTTCTCTGGTTTCTATAAACAGTATAGTTCCACTTTTTAAAAAAATTTATTTTATATTTTTTTGAGACAGGGTCTCACTCTCACTGTTGCCCTGGCTAGTACAGTGGTGTCGTAATAGCTCACAGCAGCATCAGACTCCTGGGCTCAAGCGATCCTCCTGTCTAGGAAGCTGGGGCTATAGGCACACACCACCAAGCCTGGCTAATTTTTTTGTAGAGACGGGTCTCACTATAGTGCTTAGACTTTAACCTTAGTGTTCTGGGAAGACTTCACAATTTCAAGGAGTCTTTCCAGGAGCTTGCAACATACAAAGTAGAATGCTTGAGTGTCGGCCCAAGATCAGACTTCCATCTTCCAATTTCTAGTTTCTCATAGAAACTGAAGGAGAGCATTCCCTGCCTCTTTGCCTTTGCATTATTTGTGCATCTGGTTAGACTTGCACACTCAGGCTGCAAATTAAGTGTGATTGCATGATTTTGATAGAATATAATGACAGCTGTAGCATTTAAGATTTCTTCTTTTGTTTAAGTTGAATATCCTTGTTCTTTGAAGTTTTCCACATGTCATGATTTCTAAAATTTTCTACCTTGATAGGAACCCTCTGAAAGTATTTAATACTCCATGGATAACATGGTCCTCCAGTTAAGCATTGTACTCCAGTACAGGGTAGATAGAGACTGTAATCTCCCTTGTTCTGCACACTATTCTCCTATAATAAATATGTAGTCAGTTACTTTTTTGGAGCATTTTAAATGTGTGGCTTAATAGTAGACAGCTGGTTTCTTACACCTATTGTCCTCACTCTTGGGTTGTATTTTGAAGAAACATTCAACCTTGCACAGATAATAGTTGGAACAGGGAGGAATGATCTAATTAATAGCCTTTTCAGGTAATTGTGGATATTTTTATTTGGTTCCACAACAAAACTCAACAAGTGGTAGGTTCTATAAAGGTTAGTTACAGTGTGGAACCTGAACCCTTATTAATAGACTTTTCTTCCAACTCTGTTACATTAAAATCCATCACTCTATCTTGTCCTTTGAATAGATCTTTTACCTGTGCTTGATTTTGTAACATGTGTTGGTGATTTGCAAATTATCTGTTCACTAACCTATGCAGGTCTTCCAAATGTTTTGGGGTTGTTTTTTTTTTGAGACACACTCTCACTCTGTTGCCTGGGCTAGAGTACTGTGGCATCAGCCTCACTCACAGCAACCTCAAACTCCTTGGCTCAAGCAATCCTACTGCCTCAGCCTCCCAAGTAGCTGGGACTATAGGCATGTGCCACCATGCCCTGCTGATTTTTTTTTATGTACATATATAAATATATATATTTTTAGCTGTCCAAGTAATTTCTTTCTAATTTTAGTAGAGATGGGGTCTCGGCTTGCTAAGGCTGGTCTCTGCCTCAGCCTCCCAGAGTGATAGGATTATAGGCGTGAGCCACTGTGCCAGGCCAGGTCTTCCAAATGTTGACACATTTTGTTATACAGTATCAAAAATCATCTTCATTAATATCACCATTGATCTCAGAAAAGTCTTTGAATATTGGGAGTCTGTCAAGCTTACGTTGATGGATACAAGTTTTCTAAAATGCTCTTTTTTGCTTGGAGCTTGAATTTTACCATTGGCAACAAATACTGTTGGTTATTTTACTTGGAGCAATAGGCTGACTTCATTTTCAGGAAAATGTATGGCAGATACCCAAGTCTGAATAACCGTAGTTTGTCATCAGTTCTTACAGGTGAAAATTGGTGTTTCCAAGGAAAGAACAGCTAGTTCAGCTTGTAGCTCTCAAGTGCTTTTCCTGGAGATGATCATCCCACTTGTGTAATGTGGCAGAAGTGCTTTGTGTGTACCACCCATTCATTTCCTAACATGGCATATTAAAAAGTGGGTCATGATTTAATAAAGTAATTTTTACTGCTTTACCAAGGATGTTCTTAATTGAAGCTACCTTTCTTTTTTTCTTTTTTTTAATACTGCAACTGCACAGTGGTGGAGCATGAGCAATGTAGTTTGGTGCCACTTCTTCCTTGGCTTGTGCAAAGTAATACAATTGCAAGATTGGTATAGGTCTCTGCTCTGATAAACCTGGAATACTGTGATCAGTCTGGGAACCATGTCTTAATATGTAATGGACTAGAGCCTATAAAGAAGAAAGTAGCAAGGATGGCAAGGCTCTGAAACTTCAGAGGAAAGGCTGAGCACCTTAAGTGTAGACAGCTTTTGAAAGAGAAGCATTAGCAGCAGTGATAAGTGCTCGTGAACCTTAGAAGAAAAGTATGACTCTGGGGGGTAGAATAGGAGCAAGAGAATTACACCTTTATAGTAGAGACTGTTTAAAAATAGAATTGCTACTTGAACTAAATTTTCTTTTAAGGGGCTTCTGTGGGGTATAGATTGGGCTGGAGTTTTCTAGTTGTATGTTTTACCTAACACTTTAATCTTTTCTTTTTTTTTTTTTTTTGGAAGACAGTCTTGCTCTGTCACCCAGTGTTGGAGTGCAGTGCACATATCACATAGCTCATGCAGCTGGAAATCCTGCTCAAGTGATTTTTCGCTGTCCTGCCAAGCTCCCAATACCCTAGACTACAAGGCTCATGGCACCACACCAGCTCAACTGTTTTCTGTAGAGACTTGGTCCCCCTCGTGTTGCCTGGCTGGTCTACGATCCTGGCCTTCAAGTGATCCTCACGCTCAGCCTCCCAAAGTCTGGATTGCCGGCATGAGCCACCACCCCTACCCTGCCCCAGTAAATACTTTTAGTATCTTCAGTGCGTTACAATTTGGGTACAACTGGTTGGTGTTGAACAGGCAGACAGGTTTGACACTATTGCTTAGTCGATTTGCCTACTAATTTCTTAATCCATAGAATACTTCTCTTTTTAATTTTATTCTTGCTATTTTTTTTTAGTGGGTGTTTTTCTAGGGACTTTTAATTATTTAATTCTTGTACATTATCTGCAAGTCCATAAAATTAATTGCTTAACAGCTAAGTATTTACTATTTAATGTTTCATATTGTTCTTTGTGTTTTTTGAGAAGTTCTCGCTTTGTGCCAGGCTAGAGTGGAGTGCCGTGCATCATCTAGCTCACAGCAACCCCTTCGGATCAGCATCTGCTGCCTCGCTCCTGCGTCTGCTGGCTATAGGCATGCACAACCATGCCTGCATTTTTTTCTAAAAAATTCGTCTGACAATTAATATTTTCCTTTTTATATAGCAGATGGGACGCGTTCTTGCTCAGCTGGTTTTTTGAATCTGACTCGAGCACCTGCAGTCTTTGACTCCTAGAGTGCTAGGAGACAGGCGTGGCCACCGGCCCGCCCCATGTTTGATTTTGTATCGGGCTTAATTTTTTTTCAGATATTATGAGGAGAAATTGTTGTAATGACTTTGAATGCCTTTGCATTCTAGGTTTAAATGGGATTATTTGTGGATCTTTTTGTATCTAAAGAATTGAACGTAATAATTATATAGTTGGATTATTTGGTAGTCATACCAACCAACATTAGCATAAAATGAAGTAAGTATACTTTAAATGGAGTGATACGTATGTGAATGTCAAGTCTCAAGCATTCAATTAATATTTTGTTCCATTTTATTATTTGGATTGATCTGAACTGTTGGATTAAGTACTTTATACCCCATGTGAAGTTATTAGAATTACTAACACATTTAATGCTTCATAATTTGAGAGCCAAACGTTAGCATTCATAACATGCCTTTTCGCCACACGACAAATTTCCTTTAAGAATTGCAACCAAAAGTCATGTTTGTGTTCATCTGTTCATCTGAAATAAAGCTTTTCAAATGCCCTGTTGTGTCATATAGATACGTGTCATATAGATGGAATCAATTTAGTGGGTCCTGTTAAGCATTTTTTTAAAAATTAAGTAGATAGGCCGCGCGCAGTGGCTCATGCCTGCATCCTAGCCTCTGGGAGGCCAAGGCGGCGGATTGCTCGAGGTCAGGGCGTTCACAACCAGCTTGAGCTAGAGCCAGACTCGTCTCTACTATCAAATAGAAAGAAATTAATTGGCCAACTAATATTATCAGAAAAATTCCGGGCATGGTGGCGCATGCTGTAGTCCCAGCTACTCGGGAGGCTGAGGCAGCAGGATTGCTTGAGCCCAGGAGTTGAGGTTGTTGTGAGCTAGGCTGATTGCACGCACTACCTCGCCTGGGCAACAAAGTGAGACTCTGTCTAAAAAAAAATAAGTAGAATAGCAAATAGTGTGCTTTATATACTACAAGATGGTGCTACTGGACAGTTTTTTTATTCAGTTAATATACATGCATGTATATGTGTATTAAATCATGATGTATTAAATATTTGTTGCTGTTGGTCAATGCCCAAAAAAGTTTGAAAAACAAATAACGTAATTGGAGATGTCATCTGTTTTTTTGTTTTTATTTTTGTTTTTTGAGACAGTCTTACTCTGTTGCTCGGGCTAAAGTGCC